GCGCCCCGCCCGGGGGACCCCGGGGGCGCAGGGAGATCGCAGAGCGCGCACGGCCCAGCGGGCGGAGGGGAGCAGCAGGAAGGGGTTCCGGGGGGGGCGTCGTGGGGGTGGGCTTGGCCCCCGGGACCCGCCGGCGGGAGCGCCAACTCCGCTCGCACCTGCGGCTCAAACTTTTGTAAGGCGGCTCCCGGGGCGGCGGGAACCCGGCCGGAGCGGTGTCCCCCCCACCCCCTTTACACCCTCCAGCCCCATTTGGGCCCTTGGTCTCCCGGGGGGGGGCCCGGTGGGCTCGGGGAGGCTCCCGGGGAGCCCAGCTCGTGCAGGGTGGCGGCGGAGGGGGCAGTGTGGAGCGCGCGGGCAGCTTGGCGCGGGGGCGGCCGGGCCGCGCCGGGGTCACCGGGGGCAAAGGACAAGGGGAGAGGGAAAGGGGGGGGGCAGGGGAAGGAGGGCGCAGGGGCCGGGGCCGGTCCGAAGGCGGGGTGTGTGGTTTACAGAAGGGCTGCGCGAATACTTCGGCCAGTTCGGGGAGGTGAAGGAGTGTCTGGTGATGCGGGACCCCCTGACCAAGAGATCCAGGTGAGCCCTTCACCCCCTGCTCCTGCGCCCTCCCGCCTCGCCCGCCTCGGCCCCCCCCCCTCCACCACCGCCACTCGCAACCATCTGCCTCTCTCTCCCTAACGCGGGCGCAGGGGTTTCGGCTTCGTCACTTTCATGGACCAGGCGGGGGTGGATAAAGTACTGGCGCAATCGCGGCACGAGCTGGACTCCAAAACAGTGAGTGGCCTTTGGGGGGGGCAGGGGGGTTCCTTAGAGAGAAGGAAAGAGAGAGAGAAGGCTGCGGAGAGGGAGATGATCCTGATTCCCCCCGCCCCCATGGCCCCTGAGGGGACAGTTGAATAAGAAGGCTGCCATGCTCTGAAACTTTTTCACTTGAGTTGGGGGGGAGGTGTGTTGCAGAAGAAGGAAGAAAGATTCCCAGGTCGGGGGGTGAGCTGTGACTGCCTCCTCCCCCTGCCAGCACCCACCCACCCACCCTCCCACCCTCCCCGCAGTATGGGTGAGGGCAAAGCCAGCTAGCACCTCTGCCTTCTAAAGTACTAATCTTGGTGCCTCGCAGTGTGGGGTGGGGCCGGCTGCCTCCCCTAACCCCAAGTGAGTGAGTCAGGGCTAGAGTGACCCCACCGGGTGACTTCTCTGAACTCCTAACTAGTATGTGGCTCTTGCTGACGCCCCCCCTTTCCATTCCAGACCAATGGCAAAGCATCCCTGGGTCTCTCTGCCTCCTTTGCTCCCTTCCTCCCTCCCTCCGCTCCTGACTTTGGTCAATGAGCTTCTTGCTTTGTGTAGAAGACCCGAACCTGCTTCACTCACTCTCGCAGGAGTTTTATGAGAAGGGAGCTAGACGGTTTGAAGGGGTGCAGAAGGGGAGGTGGAGTGGGGGGAACCTTCTGAAGACTAGACCTTAGGAGAAACTCTTTGCCATTCAAACTCCTGGAACATTTTGCTCCTGCCCCCCTGTTCTCCAGTGTCTTGGACCCTGCAGGGGGCGCTGGTGGAGGCCAGTTCTAGGGGGCGAAGGCAAAGGGGTGTATGGGAGGGGGAATCAAGAGGATGGCTGGCTGACCCAGTGATGGGGGTGTCTGTCTGCGAGGGGAGGCCTGGGACAGAGTGAGCTCCTGTCTCCACACACCCCTTCTTTCCCCTGGCCTGGGCCTCCCTTGCTTAGGTCAATCACTGGCTCCTGTTTACCTGCAACAATGGCTGGTTGTGCCCAAGAATTTGTTCAATTACCGCCTGTCCCGAGTGCCTGTTATCTCTGCCCAGTGGCTCCCACTTCTGCTTACAGTAATGAGCAAATGAGGCCAGGCCTCGACTTTGCCCGCTCTGAAAGGATCTTCTTGGCGCAGCCCGAGTGACCCAGGCTGGGAAGGGAGAGACAGTGGCCTATTGTTTTTTGGTGATTATCTGCCATCAAGCTGCCTGTTCTCCTACCATCCCCTGTCCTCAGAATGCACTGATGGCTCCTGCCGAACTCAGGAAGCCTGAGTTTAGGAGCTGGGGCCTGGAGGGAGGGGGGCGGCTGGAGGAGTGAAAGATTGATAAGGACAAGACAGAACAGGAGGAAGGATGGGGAGATGGGTATCCTTAGGATACCAGGACTGGCTAAGGGCAAGGGCTTTGTCTGTGTTTGGCATCTTTGGGTTGGAGAAGGGGGTGGGAGGGAGATTTGCTGTGGGGAGTCTATTTTGGGTTCTGACTTCCACCTTTTATTTACTTGTTGGGTTTTATTTATGTTGCCAGCTGTGAGTCAGAGTGGGGGGTGGGGAGTGTCCGCTACAGGGGTACAGGTGAGTCAGGGGGAATGTGGCTTGGGTACCATCTCCCCATTGGGGCCTGTGCAGAGGGACCGTCTGAAGTACATAGGTGTCTGAGGACGCTGCATCTGGAAGAAACAGACTGAAAATGTCCATAAAAGTGTGAAATCAAAACTTCAGACAGGGACCATAGGCACCTTGGATTTTTTTTTTCTTTCCTTTAGCCCAGGGGGTTTTTGCTGGAGGAGGCATTGCCCTGGGCATGGATTTGGGAGGTACTGTCTTTATGGGAAGATTGCAGTAGGAACTGGCAGAGGGCTCCTTCCCCGTCTGTGCCATTTTGAACAGAAGGAACTTTGGGAAAAGACACATCTTCCTTGTGATTGGCTACTCAACTTCTGAATGATGTGCATTCCTATGAGTGACAAGAAACTGTCTAGAATGACCCTGCCTTTAGGTCTTGTGTTGGTCACAATGTCTCATGCCCTGTCTCTTGCTGTTTGTCAGTTTCGCTGGAGTACCCAGGTCCAAGTGCATCTTGATTTTTCCCTCTGGTTGTTCCCAGCCAAGGGCAAAGGTGGCCTCCTGGTAATAGCTCTTTTGTTTGTGAAATGAAGGGCAGTTCACAAAGGGCTGCTTTCACCTGTGTGTGTGTGTGTGTGTGTGTGTGTGTGCACGTGTGCGTGTGTGTGTGTGTGTGTGTGTTCTGGGGCTTGAACTCAGGGCCTTATGCTCTCAATTAGCTTTTTCCACTCAAGGCCTAGTGCTCTACCAACTTGAGCTACACCTCTATTTCTGACTTTTTGGTGGTTGATTGGAGCTAAGAGTTTCACAGACTTTGCTGCCCAGGCTGGCTTCAAACCAAGATCCTCAGATCTCAGCCTCCTGAGGAGTTAGGATGACAGGTGCCTAGCTCCTCACCTATGTTATCTTATTTAAGGCCTCACAGCTGTCCCTGGGGAGAATGGCAGTGATTGTCCCCACTTTGCAGATGTGGGTACTGAGGCTGGGGGGGGGAGTGAATGAAGTTACTAAGATCACAGACTTGGCAAGCAGCCCAAAGTTACTAAAGTCCAAGTCCTATGCCCTTTCATGTCATCAAAGACTTGAGGCACCCTGCCTCGCCCCAAGCCTGGCTTCATTATCGGGAGCTGTTTGCTTACTGCTTCTAGGAGGGTTGCAAGAGGCTGGAAGGATTGAGGAAACAGAACTAAGTCTATTCCTGGTAGTTCTGAACTCTCATCTTGTAGCTCTCTCTCTCTCTCTCTCTCTCTCTCTCTCTCTCTCTTTCCCAGGCAAAGTATATTTCCATTTGCAAGGCTTCTAAAGTCAGAGTTGAATGCCTTCCCTAGACAGATAGCTGTGTGAAGTCATTTAACCAAGGGAGGCTCTTGATGACCTGATACTTGAAGGAAAAAGATTTGGCTTACATCATTTCTGGTTCTTACTGTGAGTTAGACACCATGTCAAGTGCTTTGAATGTATTATCTCTGGTAATCCGCAAATGACCTTTTGAGGTGGGTATTATTCATTCGTCTATTTTGCAGGTAAGCTTGACTCTCAGGCTCGGAGAGGTTAGATCAACTTGCCCCAGGTCTCACAGCTGGGATGTGCTGTAAGTGGGATTTGAACATAGTACCTTGTTTAACCACTGTGCTTTCCTGCCTGAGGCTGCTGTTGGTTCCTGTGACTTCTGGGTTCCAGAATGAGAGAGGTGCTCCGAATGGAAAGCTGTAGGATGAGGACCAGAAGAAATGTGATAACGAAGACTTCTAAACATCCCCCTTGTCTTTCAGATTGACCCCAAGGTGGCCTTTCCTCGGAGAGCACAGCCGAAGGTAGGTGTTGCATCTGAGATTTGGGAATCACCTTGGGTGACTCTGGACATTGATTTTTCCCAGCATTACCTTCAGTGGCAGATGCTTCTGGATCTTGCGTGTGGAGTGTTTCTAGAATAGGCTGGGGTAGGAAGAGGGTGTGTCCCTGGCTCTGTGCGTGTTAACATCTGTGCTCTGGGGTAGACTGCAAGGGGGAGGGGGGCGCTGAATGTGTGGGACCTCATGGGTCTTTCTGTATTTGAAGTTAGTACAGTCTGGGGCCCTGAGTCTTAATTCTGACCTCATAGATCACAGTCTTTATGCCTAGAGCTTCTGGGGGTCAAAAATAGGACAGGATTGCCCCCTGAAGCTGGGTTAGATTTTGACCAGGAGCCTATTCTGATGCCCCCTCCCACTTCCTGTCACCTCCTCCCTCTCCTGGGAGGTGTGCTGGGCTTGCAGAGGGGGAAGGGAACCAAGAAGCTGGTCACCTGTTATCCTTTGACTTAGGTTATCTGTGTCTGCTCCCTTTCTCTGGTGTTCCTGAAGAGAAGGGGCAGTATAGACGGAAAATGGATTTCTGAGCAGTTGAATGACGTAGCCCTCCAAACTTGTGCTACAGGGCAGGTACCACAGATTCCAGGCCTATGGCAACTAGCCAGATCTTTCTTTCTTTCCTTTTTAATGCATTGCCTCTCTGGGACAGAAAGAAAGGCCAATTACAGGCCAGGGAGTCAGGATCCCCGGGTTTGTGGACATTATCACATGGTCTTCCCCAGGAAATGTCAGTTTCCCCCTTTGTAAAGGGGTGGTGAGAATGAGAGGGCTTGGAGATTCAGAGCCACTGAACTCCATCAAGGCCTCCGGGGTCCTGACAAGATGAAGGGACGGGAACAGTTTTAGGAGACAGGAAAGGGACATCTCTGGAAGGGGTCCAGCAGAGAGCCTGAAAGCAATTACCGAGCAGGTATCCGAAGGAAGCCGTACCAGGGAGCACATGGTCGGAATTGGGTTAATTCCATTAAGCAGTTTGGTGACAGAAGGTGCTTTAGTGTTAGGATGGGGTTGGGAATTGCTGTGGATTAGCCGTGCGCTCCTGGGGTAATTAGGACCATGTGTTCTTCCTAAAACAGGACTGGGGCCACGGGGCTGCCAGAGGTTGGGTGGGGAGGAGGAGGTTGATGGGGAAAATGTCGGAGTTAAGTTCAGGGACACCCCCTCCTTTCCCCATGGCCTTGGCATCTCCCAGGAGGGCGGGTGGGGCTTTGGAGGTAGGCTGTGGATCTGGGTCATTAGTCCACCCCCCCTTCCCTAGTAGATGAGGACTTAAGGGAGGTTATTTTCCAGGCCCAGACCCCGGAGGGGGAGGGGGGAGAGGGGGCAAGAAGGAGGCCTGAGTGAGGACTCATGTGCCACGGTGTGGGGTACACAGCTGCCTGTGTTCAAGCCGGAGCTTGGCGGGGGAGGGGGTTCGCTTCTGAGAGGCTGGGGCCACCGAGAGCTTGTCAGCTGGCATCCTGGTGGGGGTGGGGGGGAGGCTCGAGCCCCTGCTGGTGGCAGTGGGCCACAGGACTCAGATGCCCACTCTCTCCTTCCCTGCCTTTAACAGATGGTGACTCGGACGAAGAAGATCTTTGTTGGGGGCCTCTCGGTGAACACCACAGTGGAAGATGTGAAGCAATATTTTGAGCAGTTTGGGAAGGTGGGTCATTGCGGAGGGGCGGGGCATGCTTGCTGGGATTGTGAACATGTTGGGGAGTACAGTAGCAAGGAGGGGACTGGAGCCAGGCTACCTCCCTCCAACCCCCACCCCCGCCATCCTACCAAAGGTGAAAGAGGCACTGGGTATATTCTGTGGGTGAGATCAGGCCAGGCCACTGTTCAGGCTCTTGGCCCATCTGTGGGCCTCTGACTGGACATCCCCAGGGGAAGGATGCCACACAGTAGTGTTCTTTTGTTGTCCTTCCCCGGTCTTTTTCTCCTGCTTATCTTCATTCTCCCAGGGGAGGACATGCTCCTGTAGCCAGTTCAATCTAGTCACCACCCCCACCACCCCCACTTTGGTCTCCTGAGAGTTTGCACCTGTCCAGGCCACGGGCAGCTGTACCTCCCCGCCACCCCTTCCTAGTGGTGGATGATAAGGAGACAATAAATATGATTTCCCTGGGCTGGGAATGTGGCTTAGTGGTAGAGTGCTTGCCTAGTGTGCATGAAGCATTGGGCTCAACTCCGCGGTACCACATACACAGAAAAAGCCAGGAGTTATGCTGTGGGCTCAAGTAGTAGCCTTGAGCACGAAGAAGCTCAGGAACAGTATGCAGGCCTTGAGTTCAAGCCCCAGAATGGCAAAATAAATAAATAATATGACTTCCCCATTGTACCCAGTACCCTGTGTGCACAGATGGGGAGACTTGCAAAGCAGGATCTGGGAAGGTTGATAACCCCACCCCCCCTTGTCCCCTAGCTTATGGGTGGGAAGTGAAGAAAACACCCCAGATTCTGATCTTGTCCAGAGGATTGGCTCTGAACTCTGAGGTGCATGGATCTTTTAACTTCTGGGTCAGTGAAGAGGTAGAGTATGACAAGGTTAGGAGGCGGGGCACTGGCCGGACAATCAGGTGTCCTCAGACCAGGTGAGCAGTGTGAACGTCAAAGTCCTCTAGGGAGATAGATGGCAAGGAGCCATCCGAATGTCAAGGTTAAAGGAGGTGGAGGCTCCATTTTCCCATGGAGGCATTTCAGGTTTCCCAGTAGGCCAAGGCTGGAAAAAGGTCTGGGGAAATGGGTGGCTGTTTGGGGCCAAGAGGCCTATGGACTCAGACCACTTCCATGGGGACCTGGCACCCCCTGACTTGGTCAGGTCGGGCCTGGGCCCCAGAGACACACGGACACACACACACACACACACACACACGGACACACACACACACACAGAGACCGAGAGAGACAGAGAGAAGGGCGCTCCTGGGAAGCAGCAGGCCCGGGCTGGGCTCCGGCGGGGTGTCTTTGTGTCTGAGCGCCGAGCATTAGAGCTCACACTAATCTGATCCAGCAGCTGTGATTGGAGGCCGCCTGCCCCCGGGGCCGGCGTTGCCACGGCAACCGGGCCCCAGGAGAAGCCGTCAGCGGCCGCGTCTTTTGTTCGGGCCTAAATCGGCGTTGGCATGTGAAACCGGCCCGGGGAGGCCAGGGGGAGCCGGAGAATAGGCTGCCAGGGAGCGAGGGGGACAGCCGGGAATGCCAAGGGCCCCGCGGCAGGGGGCCACCCACCACCTCCCTCCCTGGCCCGGATCGAGGGGCCCCTGCCGCCGCCGGGGTTGGGGAGGTGGGGGGGTGGGGGGGAAACAATGGTCAGCCGCCATGGCTGCCACTCAGGCTTAGTGGTCGCCGAACTTGGCGGCTCCCACTGGTCAGCAGGCCTCGGTCGCCTCCCCTCCCCCCTGCATGAGCCCCCCTGCCCTTGGGTTCCCATGGAGACCAAAGCCTATTAAGGACACTGGGCTGAGAGCCCTCCCTCCTCTCAGCTCTCCCCAGGAGGATGGGGTGGGGGGGGTGAGGGTGGAGGGGGGACACCGATGGAGGTACCCTGGATCCCTGCCATTTTCCTTCCTCTCTGCCCTGGCTTCAACCCCACTACCACCCGGTACCACCCCAAAGGGGTGTAGGCCCAGATCTGTCCAGCCAAGGCCCCAGTTGGAAGATGTAAAAAGACCCAGGTACATACTGAGTTTGGAAGATTGCATAGAAAGAGGGGAGGTTTCAAAAAAAAAAAAAAAGAGGGCCGGAAAGACTGGATTTGGCCTCCATCAGTTTGTGGGTCGGGCAAGAACTCAAAAGCTGTGGGATTAGGGATAAAGGTGTGGCTGTTGCTTCTGTTCATTCCCTTGCGTCCATTCAAGAAATAATTAATGGAGCCCAAGGTGCTCCATAGAGCAGTGACCACAGATCTTCTCATAGAACCTTGAAGCCATTCAGCCCTCTAAGCTTTGCCAGCCTCCTCCATGGGATTGTGGGCCAAGTCCCTCCACGTACAAGAGAAAAAACAGCAGCTGTTAGTTACTAAGCATTTACTAAATCCCAGGTACTTTTTAAAGAGTGTTGCATGCACTATCTCATTTAACACCTTCCTAGGAGATAGTTGCTATTCACACCCATTTCACAGATGAAGAATCCAAGTCTTGGAAACCTAAAGCTACTTGCCTTGCCTCAGATCACCTAACCTGCCAGTGTACAACCAGGATTCCAACTCAGGCCTGCTCTACTGAAAAACCTGAGCTTTGATCAAAAGCCGCCTCTGTGTCTGTTTTCCAGGGGGTTTAAACAGATAGGCAGAAGCCTGAAGTGCTGGGGTGGGGGTGAAGGTGGTGCTGTGCTGTAGGGCCCAGGGCTGGAAGTTCCTTGGGGCAGGGGAAAGGGGGCCATCATTTCCCTCTAAGATGCTCCTGGGATCTGGCTTGATGCTAAAGGCGAGCTGGAGGAGCATTGTAGCTCAGGGTCAGCACCATCCACTTTTAACAGGGTACAGGAAGGTCGGTCTGGAGATGGGAGGAAGGGAAGCCAGGGATAGACTGTGCCCACAGTCTGAGGAGTTGACCTTTGGTGAATCAGACAAAAGGGCCAGAAGGGCTAGTGGTTCACTCCTGTCATCCTAACTGCTGGAGAAGCTAGGTGAGATCTGAGGATCGAGATTCAAAGGCAGCCTGGGAAGGAAGGTCTGCGAGACTTAGCTCCAGTTCACCACCAAAAAGCCGGAAGCCAAGCTATGGCGTAAGTGGTTGAGCATGAGCCTTGAGCAAAAAAGTTAAAAGTCACCCAGATCCTGAGTTGAAGCCCTAGTGCTGGCACAACAAAAGAAAAGAAAAAAAGAGGCAAGAAGTGCTGGAGGAAGTAGCAAGGAGCTATGACTGGCATTTAAGAGAGGGAAACTGTAGATCTTCCCTCGTCCCTTCCCCACCCCACCCCCCCAGTCAGTGGAAGGCAGGCAGCCCAGGCACTGAGCTCTACTTGCTTTAATTACAGCCTCTAGCGAAAGGAAACCTCAATTAGAGAAAAGATCTGTACCAGGAGAGGGGAGTTGAGTCTGACTGCTGTCCTGTTGGCCTTGCCTTTTTGCATTTCATAATCTTGCTCCCCGTATTTCCTTCTCTTTAACATCCATTCCTTCTTGGTTTGGTTCAGGATGGGCTGTGTGACCTTGGGCAGGCAATGGCACCTCTCTGTACCATTTTTTTTTTAATGTACACCATGGGGGATTATTTTCCCTACAAGGAAAGTGCAGATCATGGGGACAAAGTAGCCGGCACATATTGGGAGCTGAAGAATGATGGACTGAGAATGTTGAGTCAGGGTACTGAGGGGGGAAACTTGTTCACTGAACCGAGAGCAGATATAGAAGGCGCTGGTGGCTCACACCTGTAATCCTAGCTACTCACAAGGCTGAGATCTGCAGATCATGGTTCAAAGCCAGCCCGGGCAGGAAAGTCCGTGAGACTCTTATCTCCAATAAACCACCAGAAAGCCGGAAGTGGCACTGTGGTTCAAGTGGTAGAGCACTAGCCTTGAGCTGAAGAGCTGAGGGACAGCGCCCAGGCCCAGAGTTCAGACCCCACGACCGGACCCCAAAAAAAATAAAAAAGAAGGCTGGCATGGGCTGGGAGCGGGTTGTGGGGGTTCTGGTGTCTGGTGGACCCCCTACAGCAGGGCTGTATTTCAGGTGGACGATGCCATGCTGATGTTTGACAAAACCACTAACCGGCACCGAGGTGAGTGTGCCCCTCCCCCTTCTGCAGGCCGGGCCGGGGGCCTGTGGTCAGCCAGGGGGCTGCAGGTCACAGCTGCCCTTTCATCTTTGCCTCCTGACATTCTATCCCCAAGGATCTGCATCCTCTCCAGGGCCTGGCCTTACAGAAGGCTTTTGTCCCGCCATTTCCTGTGCTAGAAACTTGCCCAATTACAGACACAGAGAGGAGCAGAGGACGGCCTCCCCCCTCCTCATCGCAACCCTCTACCACCCACCGCTGCCCCCCACCCCCTTCCCTGGGCCAAGTCTGCCTCTGCTGGTGGTTTACCTTGTGGCTGGTAACTAGAGCTGAGGCCAGGCTGCCCCAGGGCTGGGCTGACTCCACTGTCCCAGGCAGTTTGCTCTGTGGCTGCCCCCTACCCTAGGCCAAGCGCAGTCCCCTAGCCACTTTGGCCCTCAACCTGTGGTCATCTGGATCTTGGGAGTACTTGGGCCTGGCTGTTTATCTTCCAAGGGCCTTCCCTTCTGAGAAATCCATCCAGATGCTGGCGATACTCTGGAAGAGGCTAGGCTGCTCCTTCAACGGGCCCTTGTGGGGAGTGGCTATGGGCTACATATATGTGTATGTATATATGTGTGTCTGTATATCTGAGCACAAGGATATATTTGGGTGCTCTCTTTTTCGAAAAGCACTGAAGGAAAGAAAAGGCATGTTAAATTACAGCCTTCCTGAATTCCCTGCCCCTGTTTCTATGGGTTTTACATTTTCAGGTTCAAGGAATTTTGGATCCAAAAAAAAATGGAAAGGGCTAAGGATATAGTTCATTGGTAGAGTCTTTGCCTAGCATGTGCAAGACCCTGGCCTGTGTTCTTGGAAATTACACTCGTACTAAGCCGACATTTCTCCTCAACCATAAGCATGACAACTATTTGCCTAGTATTTACATGGGTTTTAAGTAATGGAAGTCATCTAGAAATGGTTTAAAGTATACAGGATGGCTGTGTATAGGGGGTACATGCAAATACTATCACATTTCATCCAAGGGACTAGGGCACAGTATAGATTTGGTATCTCTGAGGGTCCTGGAATTTGTCCCCCTCTGCTCCTGAGAGACTACTAGGTTCTTGTGGCATCTTGGCCGCTTCCTAACTTGCTGTGTGACTCTGAGCAAGTTCCTTCACTCTGCTGAGCCTTGTTTTGCTCATCTGTAATTTGGGACCTGAAACCCTGTGTCAGCTGGTGGTTGAGAGGCTCCTAGGCTGTGGCTAGAGCCTTTCATTAAATCTCAGACACTTGCCCACAAACGAGGAGCTGTGGTATCTGTATGGCCTGGGGCTAGGTGTTGACCATCAACCTGCTTCTGACCCTACCCTTGCCCCTTGTCCCACCTCTCCAGGGTTCGGATTTGTCACGTTTGAGAGTGAGGACATCGTGGAGAAAGTGTGTGAAATCCACTTCCATGAAATCAACAACAAAATGGTGAGCCGAGGTTAGAGGGAGGTTGGGGTGCTGAAAGAGTGAGTGGGACTCCGGAGGCCTCGAGGAGGGCTGCTCAGCGCGAGCTGGGCAGACACCTGTTCCCCTGACACCATAGGATGCTGTCACACCATGGTTAAGTGGATCTCCCCATGAGTCTCAGTTTGGGGGTCTGTAAAGTGAGACTCACTCAGCTCAGTGCGAATGCTTGTTCCATGGAACTGGTGCCTGCAAAACCTTTTGCATACATAACGAATGCTCCATAAATGTGAATAACGAGGCCCAGTGTGGGATGGGGGGGGGGACAGTGACCCTAGCCCTAAGAAGGGACTGACTGTCAGGTCTCATTGCAGGTGGAATGTAAGAAAGCTCAGCCAAAGGAGGTAATGTCTCCCACGGGCTCAGCCAGGGGAAGGTCTCGAGTCATGCCCTATGGAATGGACGCCTTCATGCTGGGTATCGGCATGCTGGGTACGTTGCTAGGCCTGCATCTGCGGCTTCTTCATGCCCGGAACTGCTCCCCAGGCTACCAGGGGGTTGCGTGGGTGTCACATCTCTGTGGTTTGCCCTCCTGTGTGAGTCATTGGGCAGGAGTGGAGGCCAGGCATCTCATCGGGTCTGGCAGACCTGCCCTAAGGTGGGGTGGTTTGGTTGTCAAGTTCTGCCCCCTTGTGGCAGCTGGGAAAATAGTCCAGCTGCCCCATATTAATTGGTCCATCTATCCAATCTCTTATCCATCCGTCTATCCATCCATCCATCTGTTCATCCAGTAAATAGATATTGAGCTGGGCACTGTGTCATGGATCTCAACAGTGCCTTTCCTAAGATTTAAAAGTCTTTTAGAAAAGACACCTAAGTAAGAAGGTAAATAAGATTTAGGTTGGAGTATATGATACCAAAGGAGTATGGCCACAGAAGTTGCACTAAGACTTAAAGAAACTGGAAAATAAATTACATTTGTGCAGAGTAGAGTCTTCAGGTTGAGGCAAAACCAGTTATGGGCAAGGAGGGAAGAAAAGAAAACTGTTCCAGACAGAGGGGAAAGCATTTACACAAAGGCCATTGGAAAAGCAGAAAGAAAATTCCTCCTTTTTGTCATTCAGATAATTTTTAGATGTGGGGGGGGCTGTGACTGTGGCGGGGGAGGGGGTGTGCGTGCATGCACCAGAACTGGAGATTGAACTTGGCTTTGCCCAATTGCTGGGCTCAGTTATTCACAGCTGGTGCTCTACCACTTAAGCCATGCCTCTAGTCTGTCATTTTGCTGGTTACTTGGAAGCCTTCAAAACTTCTCTGCCTCAGCTATCTTTGAAGGGAGATCTTCCCAGGTCTCAGCCCCCTGAATAGGTAGGATTGTAAGTGTAAGCCACCAGCACACAGCTTAGGGAGTGGCTTTGGGAGGGACAAGACTTGTCCTCATGGGACTGTCCTTCAAGCAAGAGAGGAGTGAGTGGGCATTGTCCCCACAGAGTGCTTGAGGGGTATGGGAGACTTAAGGAGGTACCTAAAGAAAACTCTATAGGGGCTGGGAATGTGGCTTAATGGTCAAGTGCTTGCCTAGCATGCATGAAGCCCTGGGTTCGATTCCTCAGTACCATATAAATAGAAAAACTGGAAGTGGTGCTGTGGCTCAAGTGATAGAGTGCTAGCCTTGATCAAAATCAGTTCAGGTACAGTGCCCAGGACCGGCAAAAAAAAAAAAAAAAAAAGGAAAGAAAGAAAGCTCTGTGGAAGGGCTGGGAAGGTGGCTCAGTGGTAGAGTGCTTGCCTCACATGCATGAGGCCCTGGGTTCGATTCCACAGCACCACATAAGCATGAAAAGCCGGAAGTGGCGCTGTGGCTCAAGTAGTAGAGTATTAACCTTGAGGTGAAGAGCAGAGGGACAGCGCCCAGGCCCAGAGTTCAGGCCCCATGACTGACCAAAAAAAAAAAAAGCTCTGTGGAAGTTAGAAAGGCTCCCAAGATGAAGCTGGGGTCCTATTGCTCACACCTGTAATCCTAGCTACTCAGGAGACTGAGATCTGAGGGTTGTGGTTCAAAGCCAGCCCTGGGCAGGAAAGTCTGTGAAACTCTTATCTCCAATTAGCCATCAGAAAACCAGAAGTGGCACTGAAGCTCACAGTGTTAGAGTGCTAACCTTGAGCAAAAGAGCTCAAGAGCAGTGCCCAGGCCCTGAGTTCAAGCCCCACGACCAAATAAATAAATAAATAAAAACAAATAAATAAATAAAGGCTGAATATGGTGGCTTACATCTGTAGTCCCTATAGGAGAAGGAGATAATCTGGGCTACCTAGAGAAACTTTGTTTCCGAAAATTCAAGAAAGAAGTAAGGAAAGGTCGGCCCAATGGCTCAGGCCTGTAATCCTAGCTACTCAGGAGGCTAAGATCTGAGGATCGTGGTTCAAAGCCAGCCTGGGCAGGAAAGACCATGAGACTGTTATCTCCAATAAACTACTAGAAAACCGGAAGTGGCTTTGTGGCTTAAGCAGTAGAGCGCTCGCCTTGAGCTGAAGAATGTACGACCAATAAAAAAGGAAGGAAGGAAGGAAGGAATTGGGAGGAAAGGAGAATAGAGGGAAGGATGGAAGGGAAGGGAAAGATGCAAAGAAGAGGAAGAAAGGGCTAGGAATGGGGCTTAGTGGTAGTCTTTGCCTAGCATGCATGAAGGCCTGGGTTTGATTCCTAGTGCCACATAAACAGAAAAAGCCAGAAGTGGCGCTGTGGCTGAAGTGGTAGAACCATAGCCTTGAGCAAAAAAGAAAGCTCCGGGAAGTGTCCAGGCGCTGAGTTCAAGTCCCAAGACTGGCAAGAAGAGGAGGAGGAGGAGGAGGAGGACCCTATGCTAAATAGATTTGTGGTTGAGAGCCTCGGGGCTAGTCAGACCTGAATTCAACTCCCAATTCCACCAACATTACTAATTATAGGATTTTTTTCCCCTTGAGAAAGACAGAAAGTTGGCATTTATGGAAACCATGAGATATTCTTGAACAAAGACCTCAGTGCTGTGTAAGGGGTGGGGGACAGCTGAGGGAGGGGGAATGAGGAGACTTTTTAGACACTTGTGCAAGGAGGCCTCATTCACTTAATCACTGGGTGGGACGTGGAGCAGAGGCACCTGAACAGCAGGTGCAAAGGCCCGGAGGTGGAAGTGAGTTTGGTAAATTTAAGAAGCCCTCAAAGAAAGCCCTGTAGCTGGAGCCCAGGGAAAGAGAGACTCAGTATATAATTGATAAAGGCAGGAGGAGGGTGAGGACTGGAGCACAGAGGAGTTTGGTCAGGGTGTTGGATTGTCCTCAGCCAGTTTCCAAGTCTATAAAACAAGGCTTCCAATAGTACCTAGCTGTGACTGTGCTTAAGAGGTTTAATGAGATAACCGAAGTGTACTCTGGGTTTATCATAGGGGTTGACGTGCACCAGGTATTTGGAAAGCAGGCCTGGGGGTTTTCCATGATATCACTGCGGGAGGGAGGAATTTATGTGGCTCAGATCCACAGCCACGGTCCCAGGGAGGGGTGGGAGGAGGGGTAACGGATCTGACGGATCTGACACTGCCCCTTTGCTCCTGTCAGGCTACCCCGGTTTTCAAGCCACAACCTACGCCAGCCGGAGTTACACAGGCCTTGCCCCTGGCTATACCTACCAGTTCCCCGGTAAGTCCTCCTTGTTGTCACCCCGCGGCCAGCATGTCCCTCATTTTCTCAGGCAATTTGCAGATGGGGTCTGGGGTGCATGACTTGGGGTGGGGGTGGGGAGTCTGCCTGCTGGAGGCTTGGAAGGAAGGGCGTGTCTGCAGAAGGAGGGCTTTTCCCATTCTCCATCACTCCCTCCATGGCGCTGTGTGGCACTGTCATCTCTCAGGCTGTTTGTCCTCTGTCTGCGTCCTGCTTTTCTGTCCTCATGGGTCCAGAGGTATCATTCTCTCCCAGGGAGGGTACCCGGCTTGCAGTGGGTGGGGGTCCCTAAGAGCCAGAGTGGGCCCTATCTTCCCTGTCACACCTACCGTGGCCAGGGTGCTGTGCTGAGTCCTTGCAAGTTCCCAAAGCACTCTGGAGATACCAAATCCACCCTCATTTGTAATTGGACATGAAGCCAACACTAGAGTGTGAATAAGGTCCTGTGACTATCCAGTGTTGTTTTCTTTCAAGCATAAAATATCAAACACTTATAAGACTCTCATTTACTTATAATGCTGAGCCAAAATAGCCAGGCTGTAGCCAGGCACCAGTGGCTCATGCCTGTAATCACAGCTGCTCAGGAGGCTGAGATCTGAAGATTGTGATTTAAAGCCAGCCCCAGCAGACTTAATCATCAGGAAGCTGAGGCTCAAGTGGTAAAGTGCCAGCCTTGAGGGAAAAAGCTGCAGTCAGGGCCCAGAGCCTGAGTTTTAGCCTCAGTGCCAGCACCAAAACAAAACAAAAAGCAGGCTGGGTGCATGGTTCAAGTGGTAGAGCCCCTGCCTTCCAAAACTGAGGCCCTGAGTTCCAACCCTAGTATTATAACAAATTAATTAATTAATTAATAGCTGGGCACCGGTGGCTCATGCCTGTAATCCTAGCTACTAAGAAGGCTGAGATCTGAGGATCACGGTTCAAAGCCAGCCTGGGCAAGAACATCCGTGAGACTCTTTATCTCCAAAACCACTAGAAAACCAGAAGTGGCGCTGTGGCTCAAGTGGTAAAGCGCTGGCCTTGAGCTGAAGGGCTCAGGGACAGCACCCAGGCCCAGACCCCCCCAAAAAAATTTCATTAATTAATAAAATAATAATAAAAAAGAGAATGAAATGAAAACCAGATGCCAGTAGCTCACATCTATAATCCTAGCTACTCAGGAGGCTGATATCCTGAGGATCGCAGTTCGAAGCCAGCCCAGGCAGGAAAGTCCATGAGACTCCTTATCTCCAATTAACCACTAGCTAACTGGAAGTGGTGCTGTGGCTCAAAGTGGTAGAGTGCTAGGCTTGAGCAAAAGGGGCTCAGGGACAGTGCCCAGGCCCCTGAGTTCAAGCCTCACGACGGACCCAAAAGGCAAAAACCAAAAAGCGCCCAGCATTGTGGCACCACCATTGATTGCTCTGGGCCCATGATGTAGGTGGTGACTGCCTGCTCTGACTCTCCCTCTGTCCTCTCTCTGTCCCCTGCCCCCCACCTGCCTGCTGGGGCCTGTGCTCGCCCACCCCCTCCCTCAGTACCCCGTGGTTGCCCCCTGGGCCACGCCCGAGAGACTCCCCTACCTCCTCCTAAGCTGTTTTCCGTTTCATTTTAGAATTCCGTGTAGAGCGGACCCCACTCCCGAGCGCCCCAGTCCTCCCCGAGCTTACAGGTCAGTTGCTCGGGACCCTCCCGGGGAGAGCTCAGTGGGACCCTTTCCTCCTGCCCACCAGCCCCTTGGCTGTGGGGCCACAGCGGACTGGGCCCCGGGCACTGACCAGTCTCTGTAGCTCCATGGCCCTTCAGAGTGAGGCACTGAGCCAAGCCAAGCAAATGGAGGTAAAGTCACTCATTCATCCATTTGCAAATATTGATCTAGCACCTTCCAGGCGCCAGGCACCACAGAGGCTCTGGGATCCAACAGTGAACAGGTCAGGATCTCAAAAGCAGAGCAGAGTGGGCCTGTGGGAGGGGGAAGGGCCGGGGGGGGGGTATGTGGCCCCATGCAAGCCAGGATGCATGCGTGTACTTGGCGCTGTGGCCCTGCTGAGGGGTGTGGACTCAGAACTCTGGGTCTCTCGTTCGCAGACAAGCCACAATCCCAGCTTCTGTTTTCGTAGGTTTTTTTTATTTTTTCTTCTTCGTTTTTTTTTTTCTTCCACTCAGTTTTAAATATTGGCAACAAATTCCAAATTACCAAGACCCTATGATAGGCTTGTCAATGCATGCCATGGATTGTTGAATTGCTGAACCAGCCTTTGGTGGCCCCCATTTGTGACTTCTGGAAACGTGGGGTAAAGGTGGTTGGCCAATGGGAGCCCACTGGGGCTAGCTGAGGAGCTGGGTGAGTTGGGCCGGGCTGGGGAGCTGGGTGCACACAATGTAGGGTGTCCTGGCTTTCTGTCCAGCCTGCTTCTTCCCACCCTACCCGGGTTCCTCTCTGCGACCTGACCTTGTATGGAAGATATGAGCGTGGATACTGCTTTTTAGATGAGACCTTCCTTCCAAGGGGTGCTCAGGGGTCCCCCAAAGTGAGAGAGGGAGCAGATAAACATGGGCGAAAGGGACAGAAGGAAGAAACCGACTACCGTGAGCTGAGTTGCATTTAACCTGGAACCTGGATGGGGAGGGAGACTTTGATTGTGTAAAGAAGTCTGTGCTAGGCGCTGGGAAGGTGGCTCAGTGGTAGAGCGCTTGCCTTGCATGCCTGAGGTCCTGGGTTCGATTCCTCAGCACCACAGAAGCAAAAAGAAAGAAAAAAAAGCCGGAAGTGGTGCTGTGGATCAAGTGATAGAGTGCTAGCCTTGAGCTAGAGAGCTGAGGGACAGTGCCCAGGCCCAGAGTTCAGGCCCCACGACTGGACCCCCCCCCCAAAAAAAAAAGAAGAAGAAGTCTGTGCTAGCTGGGTGCTGGTGGCTCACACCTGTAATCCTTTCTACTAAGGAGGCTGAGATCTGAGGATCGTGGTTCAAAGCCAGCCCAGGCAAGAAAGTCTGTGAGACCCTTATCTCCAATAAACCACTCAGAAAACCGGAAGTGGCGCTGTAGCTCAAGTGGTAGCACTAGCCTTGAGCTGAAAAGCTGAGGGACAGCGCCCAGGCCCAGAGTTCAAGCCCCATAACCGATTAAAAAAAAAAGTCTGCGCTAGGGGGGTTGGAGGTGTGGCTCAGTTGATAGAGCATTAGTCAATACGTAAAAGCAAAGCAGCAGGTGCTGAGCTCAAGTCCCAGTCTTAGATCTAAAAAAAAAAAAGTCTGTTTCTAGAGCCAGACACTGGTGGCTCAGGCCTGTAATCCTAGCTATCCAGGAGGCCAAGATCTGAGAATTATGCTTCAAAGACAGCCATAGCAGGAGAGTCTGTGAGACTCTACACTTCTATTACCAACCAAAAAAAACCAGAAGTGGTGCTGTGGCTCAAGTGATAGAGTGCTAGCCTTGAGCAAAAGAAGCTCAGGGATAGTGCCCAGGCCCTGAGTTCAAACCCCAGGACTGGCAAAAAATAAATAAATAAATATTTTTTAAAGGCTGTGCTAGCCAGATGTCACTGGCTCATACTTATAATCTTAGCTACTCAGGAAGCTGAGATCTGAGGATTGTAGTTGGAAGCTAGCCCGGGCAAGAAAATTCATGAAACTCTTGTCTACAATTAACCAGCAAAAGCCAGATATGGAGCTGTAGCTCAAGTGGTAGAGCTCCAGCCTTGAGTGAGAAATCTCAAGGATAGTGTCCATGTCCAAGGCCTGAATTTAAGCATACAAAAAAAAAAAAAAGAAGGAAGGAAGGAAAGAGGGAAGAAAGGACGGACTGTGTTAAGGATCTACTATGTAACACACTACCATCAGGCCCTTGGGGCGGGGAAAGACAGCTTTCATGGAACATACTGCCTAGAGAGAGAAACAAATATTTAGCACTAAAAGAAGTAACTCTTTAAACAAATATTTATCACTAAAAAAAGTAACTCTTTACTCGGTGATAAGCACTCCCTAACACTGATTCCTCTTTGAGTTTGTGATGTGGAAATGGGCCAGAAAAGGAGACCTCAGTGCCCAGCCCCTGTCCCTGCCAGCTCAGCCATTCTTGGGCATCTGGCATCTAAACTTTTCTCTTGCCTGAGAGAAAAGGAGAGTTGGGCTGGGCACCATGGCTCACCCCTGTAATCCTAGCTATTTCAAGAGGCTGAGATCTGGGCTGGGAAGGTGGCTGGGTTCAATTCCTCAGCACCACATAAGCAAAAAAGCAGAAAGTGGTGCTCTGGCTCAAGTGAGCTGAAGAGCTGAGGGGCAGCACCCAGGCCCAGAGTTCAGACCCCATGAGATCTGTGGATCAGGGTTTAAAGCTAGCCCAGGCAGGAAAGTCCATGAGACTCTTATCTCCAATTAGCCACCAAAAAGAAGTACAGCTGTGGCTCAAGCGATAGATGCAAGCCTTGAACAAAAAAGCTCAGGGACAGCACCCAGGCCCTAAGTTCAAGCCCAGGACTGGCACATACACCAAAGAGGGAGGGGGGGTGCGGGTAGGAAAATTGGCTGTTTTCTTCCTCCTCCTGAGTTCAGTACATATTTATTGTGCCAGGGTTGGGTCTGGTCCTGGGACACAATAAGTCAGATAAGGGGGCTGATATTCTAAAAGAAAAAAGAAATTAAAAAGGGGGGGGTAAAACAAACCAGTAAGTATGAGATTTCAAAAGGTGAGAAAGTCAGAAGGTCTCCCCCCACCCCTAGGACTGGCTCAGAGCCTGTATTGTGGGAGGGCTTCTCAGAGGAGGTAATGTCTAAGAAGGAGCCAGCTGTCCGAGTATCTTGGGAAAGACCCCTCCCAGATGTAGGAACCATGAAGTTCTGCATTTGAATCTCCCCCCGCCCCCCCCCCTGCACACACAGCCTGGTGGCTTTGCTGAGGATCTAAAGGAGCCTTGTCTGAGTCACTTAAACAGCTCCAAGTGGTGATGGTTAAGATGAGAGCTTGGTATCCCACAGACTTACCAAGTGCAAACCCTGAAGTCTTCAGCCCCAGGAAGCCACTCACCGGCTCCAGCCAACGCAATAGTGAAACAGAGCTCCTGGCCGGGCGTGGGTGTATATTCCTATAGTCCTAGCATTCAGCAGGAGGAGGATTGTCAGTTGGAGGCAGCCTCCACTACATGGTGACACCCTGTCTCAAACAAAACAAAAGCAAATGGAAAGCAAATCCCTTCTCCTCCTTCAGCAGACATGAAACCCCGTGGATGGACCCAGAGCGAGGCTCTGTGGAAGAGGTTGGAGGTAGACAGAGGGCAGAGCAAGGCCCCTGACTGGAGAGGCTGATAGAAAGGGGGGCTGAAGGGGCTGGGGGAGGGGTGGCCATATCTGGCTGGCTCTGAGGGGTGCTGGGGTGGGGAAGAGGAGTCTGACCAATGGGACATTCTGGAGCCCCAGGACACATCCGTGTGCTGAGACCAGGGGCAAGCTCTCTTAGCCCTTCCAGGTCCAGGACTTACAGAGAAGAGACAAGTATAGCCAACAATCCCTCCATGAGTGTTGGAGTATGTTCTTGAGTCCAGGGGAGAAATTGAGGCAGAGATACTTGCTGGGACCTTCCCCCCTTTTTTCCCATCCATAGAGTGAGGTTACAAGATGGTGGCCCAAAGGTGACCCCTTGGGTGCAGAGTCAGGCGGGAGATGATGATGATCATGTCCAGATGGTAGAGGCCTCCTCCAGCCACGCTGAGTGTGCCCACGCCTTGTCTTTCAGCCATTCCTCTCACTGCTTACGGACCAATGGCAGCCGCCGCCGCAGCAGCAGCTGTGGTTCGAGGGACAGGTGAGGCCTCCTGGGAAGGGAATGCAGGGGACAGAGGAAGCCCAGAGGAGGGAGGAGGGACTACCGACGATGCCCCTCCCGCCCCTGTCAACAAGGCTCATATAGTCTCTCAGTATTAACTGAGCATCTACTCACTGCTGGGCATGGTGCCATTCCTGATGAGCCAGACAGGAGCTACACGCACAGGGGGTCTGCCTTCCAGATCTTACAGACTGGGGCAGGGAGGGGGACATCACAGTTCAAACGGCCACAATTCTGAAGGGTAGCCTGCTGCTCAGAAAGCGGAGGAGCTCCGAGCTGGGGCCTCTAGAAAAGGCCAAAGAGGAGGAGAAGGAGAAGTGTTCTCGGGGGAAGGAACTGCATGTGCAAAGCCTTGAGAACCAAGTTAGCATGGAAGAGCCCAGGTCGGGGCGGGGAGGGGGGCAGGAAGGGGCAGAGGACCTTCAAGGCCAGCTTTGGGGCCTGCATTTGCTTCCGGGTGGTGCAGGTAGGGCTGGGTGGGAGGGGATGGCGGGGGTGGGGGTGCCATGGGCCGCAGTGGGCATCAGAGCTATCACTGTCTTCTTTCTGGGTTGTCAGGCTCTCACCCCTGGACGATGGCTCCTCCTCCAGGTTCGACTCCCAGCCGCACAGGGGGCTTCCTGGGAACCACCAGTCCCGGCCCTATGGCTGAGCTCTATGGGGCGGCCAATCAGGATTCAGGGGTCAGCAGTTACATCAGCGCCGCCAGCCCTGCTCCCAGCACTGGCTTCGGCCACAGTCTTGGGGTGAGTGGCCAGGTTTAGTGATCCCAAAGGTGAGGGGCAGCAGGAAGCCTCGTCTGTCCAACGTGGGAGGAGGCAGATGGAGACAGGAAGTATCACTTCCCAGTGGCTTCCATTGGGGTGGCGGGTGCTTACTCATCACCTGCTCCATCTCTGACCGCACGGAGGCCAGCTCAGGGATCCCCTGGGAGGTGGTGATGTGTCGATCTGCAGTGGGGGGGGGTACTGTGGGCAGGGTGAAGGGCCTGTGCCCCATCTGCCCCACAGAGCAGGAGACCTCAGACTGTTTCCAGGATTCAGAGTCTCATTTTTCCCCCCTCTAGGGTCCCTTGATTGCCACAGCCTTCACCAATGGGTACCACTGAAGCAGGGGACAGGTGGCAGGAGGTGAGAAGGGGGATTGTGGGCAAAAAATCAAGCAAACGGGACTGGGAAAGGTGGCTTAGTGGTAGAGTGCTTGCCTTGCATGCATAAAGCCCTGGGTTCGATTCCTCAGTACCACATAAGCAGAAAAACCAGAAGTGGCGCTGTAAGTCAAGTGGTAGAGCGCTAGCCTTGAGCACAGAGAGGTCAGGGACAGTGCCCAGGCCCTAAGTTCAAGGCCCAATCAAGCAAACAAATAAGCATTCCTATGGGAGGAGGGAGCTGTTGGAAATGAAGGGTTCAGGGATGTCCCTGAGAAGGTGACATTCAGCTGGTCTTGGTGGTCAGGCCTATAATCTTAGCATTCTGGAAATTGAGACAGGAAGATTGTGAGTTTGAGGCCAACCTGGACTACACTGTGAGATCCTCTCCACTCCTACACATACACACACACACATACACACGCGAAAGAAAAAGAAGCCCAGTGCCAGTGGCTCACACCCATAATCCTAGCTACTCAGGAGGAGATCTGAGGATCGCAGTTCAAAGCCACCCTGGGCAGGAAAGTCCGTGAGACTCTTATCTCCACTAAACCACTAGAAGACCGGAAGTGGTGCTGTGGCTCAAGCGGTAGAGGGCTCACCTTGAGCGGAAGAGTGCAGAGACAACACCCAAGCCCAGAGTTCAAGCCCTACGACTGACCAAAAAAAAAAAAAAAAGAGGAAAGAAAAAGGAAAGAGTAGGCACTGGTGGCTCACACCTACGATCCCAGCTACTCAGGAGCTGAGATCTGGGAATTGGGGTTCAGAGCCAGCAGCTCTGGCAGCAAAGTCCATGAGACTCTATCTCTAATTATCAGAAAACCCCACGTGGTACTTTGGTTCAAAGTGGTAGAGTGGGGGCTGGGAAGGTGGCTCAGTGGTAGAGCGCTTGCCTTGCATGCATGAGGCCCTGGGTTCGATTCCCCAGCACCACATAAGCAA